GGTGGGGGGGGTGGAGAAGGGAGGTGTCTTTTTTTGCCTTCTGTGGCCTAATAAGTATATTGCAGAATGAGGATCATGAGGTACGTCCAGGATAGAGGAAAGTTCTCTCTGCACTAAAGATTGCTACTTTCTGAAAATAATACACTTCATGCCTTACAGTTCATTGTTCTCCTGGACACTATTACAACTCCACAACACACAGATGTATCCGATGCCCTGTGGGAACATACCAGCCTGAGTTTGGTCAAAACTACTGCATCACCTGCCCTGGGAACACAAGTACAGATTTTGATGGCTCCACTAACGTTACACACTGCAAAAGTAAGTTGCATTTATATTAGTTGTGAGATGAAGAGTATCTTTGAATCTGAACTGCAGCTTGAAGGTTCTATCTGTCAGGCTGGACTTCAATTCTGTATTTCCTAGTTAGCATACATCTACTGCCAGAGGGAATAGTAAAAATGGGGAAAACAATGAGAAAAAACACTGGAAAAGTACCACTTAATGCATATGATTGTTTTAGCTTTACCATAATTTGGCAGAGTGCCAGCTACAAGTTAAAACTACTGAGTTTTTGGGTTCCCAGATCCTGTAAGTTGTCTTGCAGTGATGTATATTCCTCCATGTCTCTGTAGAGCACAATATATTCTATCAGAGTAACTGCCATTTTATAATAACAATAAAATATTAGGAGATATGGTCATGCATACTACAATTGCCAGGTTATCACTCATGACAGTGAAATCTTCTCATAGGCTTTTTTGGAGTACTTATACTCCTCTCTTCAATTACCATTTTAAATATCCCCAAGGATTCCAGTGCAATTTTATTTGATCTCTTGTGAACGACTGATTCTTTTAAGCAACCAATTTTTTTCATCTCTACCATGCTAATTTAAGAGAATATAATAATTAGGTAACGTCACCTAAACTAACTAAACTAATGTGCAAGTCTGTCATAAGTTTTTATTCTGATTACGTGCCATGTGTCTTTGAAGCCTTCCATAATTTCTAATATGAGTAAATTAGAGATTTGTAAGGAATTTGAAGAAGTTTGATGATTTTCCTGTAAAATAAGACCATCCTTGTCACTTCACTGTCTTAGATACTCCTTGTTTTCAAGCTAGTTCCTGACCTTGCATAATCTTTGACACTTGGATTAAGCAAAATATTTAAACATATGTCTAGTTTTACGTGGGTGAGTAGGCCTGGAGAGATGAAGCTTAAGTAACTTACTGAATCAGGCTTCTGTGGCAAATTCAATAGGAGTTTTGAAATCTCAGAAAGTGAAACTGATCTGTCAATGGACATTCTTTATTAACTGATTTAATCTAAGATAAAGCAAGGCAGATCTGTAATCAAGATAAGGTTGGCTGTTAGGATCATCACAGTCATTCAGCTAAATCAGGTTAAAAATCAAGTGAAGTTAAAGCAGAATGCCTTCTGCATGTCAGCGTGGTCTCAGTGGTAACCACTGTGCAAGTTCCTGCACAATGGGATCATGTTTACTTACCTGTGTTCGTTTCTTAATCAAACGTTAAAGCAGCCTGAATGAAGGATTGAATCAGTTTATACACCAGAGATTAAGATTTTGAAAATCAGCCGGAGCAGCCCTGCAGATGAAGTATTCCTTTAAAGGCTTTCCACACTAAACAAAGAGGCAGCTGGAGAATGTATGCATTCCTAAAGCCACAAGGAGCAGTTTAGACTTGCTCTTGACAGATCTAGAAAAACACGTCAAATTAGCTAATCAGCTAACACAAATACTAATTTATGTTTCTTCTCAGACCAGCACTGTGGAGGAGAACTTGGGGATTATACTGGCTACATTGAATCGCCCAACTATCCTGGAGACTACCCAGCTAATGTTGAATGCATTTGGAATATAAATCCACCCCCAAAGAGGAGAATACTCATCGTAGTACCTGAGATATTTCTCCCAATTGAAGATGAATGTGGTGATGTTTTAGTAATGAGAAAAAGTGGTAAGTTGCCAGACATGGGTTACATAAATATTTATTGCAAACTCACTGACTGGAAAGCTCATGCTGAAGGGATAACTGTCTTCATCTATCTGGCTTTTCTAAAAGGATTGTTGGATGAACTGGTACAGCAAGTTAAAACAGAACTCTGTACCCATAACAGTGAATAGAGTGACATTAATTATTCAAGTGTCTTGGCTGAACCACAGAGCAGTTACTGGGCTTCTGTCTGTCCCAATTGCCACATGGGATAAATCACTGCTACTCTACAACTCAACAAAGCTATGATAAGTTATACTGGGAGAGCTATCTACTCTCACCTGTACAACGTGTGCTCTCATTTATCCTCTGCAAGCATATATACGCTGCAGTTACTGCTAAATCTGTGCAGTGACACAGGTTAGTACACCTGACACCCTCAAGAAATCCAAAGGTTTCCCAATTTTATGTGGAGTGGGGGTTGTGTTGTGTCTTTGATTATGAAGTTAATTCAACAACTTCTGAAGTTCAGACACCAATGAAATGCACTCCTTCTGCAGTCCTGTGCAGGCATCCAGCTTCTGGTGATCTGTTGATAAATCTTCAAGAAGCACCAAACCTGAAAGGCAATTGTTTATATGGAGCTTTGTTTAAAACAGCATATTTTACTTGATAAAACAGTGTATTTTATTTGCTAAAACAATTTTCACAACTTTGTATCCTTGAGGGCTTGGGTTGACAACCTGCTTACTGTAGATGGAAGGAAATAATATCTTTCCAGGTCAGTTTTTTAAAAGCAAAACACTTACTGTAGGAGAACAAATCAGTTGTCCATCTGATCCCAAACTGTAGTTCCAACAGTGAGTAAACCCAGGCACATAGGGAAAAGTTTTACTTCCACTTCAGTAACAATACCAAAATAACTACAACACTGGAAAATGAGGGTGGTTTTTCAGAGCCGTGATTTCTGATCCCTGATGTCCCTGCTTACTGCAGGGAGGTTGGACTAGATGACCTCCATGGTCCCTTCCAACTCAAACTATTGTATGATTCTGTGATTCTTTGTTTGGCATCATAAGAATAGATATTCTGAATATTTATCGTAGTTCATGTAAGGTTGGCTGCTAACATTGCTGTGGAAAAACTGATGGCAGTTACAGTTAAATCCACTTTTTTGCACTTCAAGAATCCAAATCCCATTCAGTTCAAAAGGTCTCTTCTTGCTAACATGGGCAAGAGTTGAATCGGCCCTAGCAAGTTCAGCTTTTAGCTTACACTTGTTATTTTCCTTAATTATCCTGTGCCTATGGAGTGGTTTATTTTGAACTAGGTAAGAAGCTTTTTTTTCCCTTTTTTTTGCAATTCATTTCAGCTTAGATGAACTTCATGATACGTAATGATTTGGAGACATCCCACACCCTCCATTTGTTACGTATGTTAGGGGCAAATGGGAGTCTTTCTGGTTCCCAGCTATTAGCTCTGTTTCAGTGTAGATAAATTACATTTATTTTCAAACCACAACCAGGTGTTTTGCACTGGGAGGTGCTGGTCCATTATGAGCCCAGTAAGAAAGGCACTTAGACTCTGTAAGGTATAATTTTAAATGCTATTTATTAGAGCTATCGTTATAAGGAGAGAATAGTATAGACAATCCTACATCCCCTTAGTTGGTGGGAACCACAGGTATCAAATGGCCTCTGATCCACATCCAGCACGCAGGGCAGACCCTGTTAGAAGAGATTTTTCCCTTTCAGTCAGTCGAGCTTTCCTTAAAGGAAACAACTCTGTTTATCATTTCTACTGTCAAACAGAAACAATGTTCTCACGAGAACTTCCTGCTGCACTTTCAGATAAAGGCAAGGCCAGGCAGTAGCACAGTCACCAGTACCAAGTGGGAGCTGCCTCCAAGTTCCTCTCGTTACAATGAGCTGGCTGAGGTTATCCTGCAGCCGTGGGATTTGTGCCACACAACATGGGCCTGCAGGTCCTGCTGGACACACAGGGTGGCACAGGCCTGGCCATACCCAGGTTAACTGTTCAGTAGATCACTAAAACCTCAGTGTGCGGTGATCTTTCTGTCAGAATCACTACATCAGGCTGTTACATTCTGATAAGTGGTTTACTGCTATCAGATTAACTCCCCAAACTGGCAGTGGCAGGAGCTGGTCACTGCTCTGCCTGGAGCGCAGCTGACTTGTCCTTACCTCTCTGGGCCCAGTGTATGGGAACCCTGGAATCCAGTGCTGGAGTAGTACACAAAATAAGTAATGTTGATAGTAATTTTATAGGTGTCAAAAATTATCTGTGGCACCTCACTGTCTGCTTAAGCTTCTTGCTGGGGGACAGAGGTGTTCCCACTAACTTTGTGGAAAAACTTCAATCTCCTTATATCCCGATAAAGACTACGTCCCTTCTATCACAAAAAAAATTCTGCTCTCAGGAATACATCAACTGAGAAGTGTCTTGTCAGTTTGACATTTCTGATGTCTATATCAGGAAGGGTGCAAGAAGTTTTTTATAAAGAACATTTATTTATTTAACCTTCTTTCCAGCTTCTCCTACTTCAATTACTACATATGAAACGTGTCAGACTTACGAGAGACCTATTGCATTTACCTCAAGATCAAGGAAACTCTGGATTCAGTTCAAGTCAAATGAAGGAAACAGTGGCAAAGGATTTCAGGTCCCTTATGTGACTTACGATGGTGAGAATGGGATTGTCTTCCATCTTTGTGTTATATCTGAATTACAGAAAATTATCTTTTAGAATCTCTCTTATGCTGATGACAGGAAGAGAAGAATGCGGAAAAACTTGATATAACTCATTTTTAGTCTAGTGAATTACTTTAAAACCAGTTGCAAAGACTTTGAAATAATACCTAATTTTACTTTTATTACTTTTCCTAATACTTGAAGGATAAACAGCAAGTTACACAGATTTCTTTAAACTTCTTATCCCACTGAATTCACTTAGACTCCTTTAAATTGTCATTTTTCATATGTGTAATGAGAATACCATTAATTGGTGTGCATTTTAGGAAGGCCCTTTTCATCAAGTCCCACAAAATCTTGAAAAGTATAAATTAATAAAGTCACAACTCTAACAGAGGAAAAACAGTGATGCAAAGAGAAATATCCTTTCAGTAACCACTTTCATAAATCCACATTTTAAAACAGTCTGGTTTTAAATATATAAAACATATTTTATAT